ACTACTACTACTACTACTACTACTACTACTACTACTACTACTACTACCCCCTACCCCCTACCCCCTACTGTCTGGCAAGCAGAGTGTTTGAACGGATATATTTTTACCTTACAATTTTTGAGCTGCTACTTTTGAGAAACAACAGCTGGTCATGCATTCTTGGGGATCTAAATGCAGCTGATTGATCAGAAACCATGTCCTGCAAGAACCAATGTGGTTGTATATCCCTCAAACCTGCTTGTCAGCTGCATCAGCATGATTTCTTCCTTCTTGATTTCCCTTCTAGGCTGCCAACAAGTGATGGAAGTGCATCCAAAGGCAAACAGCAAACCAGCGAGCCGGTGCACATTTTAAAGCGATCGTTTGCGAGAACCGTTTCCGTGGTGAGTCCGCCTGCCCGTGTTTTAATGAAACGAAAAAGAGTTGGCTAATAAAGAATAGTTTGCTGCATATTTAAAATCTTCCACTGTACAGGTAGTCCTTAACTTGCCACAATTCATTTAGTGACCTTTCAAAGGTACAACAGCCTTGCAAAATGTGACTTATGAACGTTTTTCCACACTTCACCCTTGCGGCATCTTTGTGGTAACATGATCAAAATTCACATGCTTGGCACCTGGTTCATATTTATGACGGTTGTAGTGCCATGTGATCAGCTTTTGCCGCCACCTGACAAGCGAAGTCAATGGGGGAGCCAGATTCACTTAACAACTGCAGTGATTCACTTAACAACTGTGGCAAGAAAGTTCATAAACGGGGGCAAAATTCATTTAACAAAATTTTGTGGGTGGCAACAGAAATTTTGGGTTCAGTGATGGTCATAAGTCAAGGACTACCTGTACAAAATAAAAAAGGGATATGCACATTGAACCCCGGCCTTTTTGAAAAGCAGAAATGTGCATTCATTCTTAAGTAAACTTATGTTGATGGCATTTTATCCCTGCAGTGACTGAAGAAACACAGTAGGTGAACATGGAATTTATTATCCTTTATTTTGCAGATGCATTTGCTCATAATATCTAGAAGACAGGAGTTTAGGAGGGCTTTGGGCACGGTTTCTCTGTTGTGATTATTCTGCAGCATTAATTCACTTCGTCAAAAGAGAGCAATGGCATATTTCTCATTATCTTATCATTTTGACCTTCTGAGGAAACATTGCATGGCTCCCTCGTTCCTAGGTATCCCGGTAACCCTCAGGATTAGGCAAATCCTTTTTAGAAAAACAATGAGAGGTGAAATTCTAGAAAGCTAAATTCTGCACGCATATCCCTTTTCTAAGTTGTATCAGATTAGCAAGGAAAATCAGAGGAAGAGGAAGACGGAGGAAGAAGAGAAGGAGGAGGAGAGGAAGGGGAGGAGGAGGAGGAGAAGAAGAAGATTATTATTATTAAGATTCTGCCGTTCTGGTGTTCTTTCATAGCTTTTGAACTTGTTATTTGTTGGACTGAAGTCCAATGTAAAAATATTTACATGGGGGAGAGGGGGGAAGGAAGAAGCTTCCTAGCCATCATCTTCCAGCCTTTCCAAAGAATATGCCAGCTTTTCTGTCCCATCCTCTGGTCATAAACAGGTGTTTAGCTGAAGGAATTGAGGATGCACAGCAGCAGTTGGGTTTGATCACCTTTTAAGGTTTTGCTGCCCTGGAACGTTACTATAGACTTCTTTCCTCTGGCTCTCCTATTGCCCAGTTTGAGAGCCCTGGATGAATGGATACTCCTTGTTGAGCCCTCTTTGCTTTCCTTACAATTCCTTTGGAACAGGAGTGTTTTGAGTCGCTGCTGAGCATTCTTCATTGGAGCTGGACCACCTTAGTTTTAGGAGTGGAAGAACTCCGAGGTCTGAAGGGGTTCCAGTACACGGCCACCCTTCTGGATCTGGAAAGGCTGAGATTTGTAGGCACTTGCTGCTTGAGGTTACTACGTGTCTACACCTGTGAAATTTACCCCGTTTCAGGTAAGGTGCTTTTGTTCTGACCTAGCCTTCCCAAGATCATGAAGCAGACTCCTCATCCCGATAAAACCACTTTTATTTAGGTTAAAGGGAATTCCTCTCCAGCAAAGTCCCAGCAAATAGTCTTCCATGAGATTTCACAACTATAGGCCTTTTTTCAAGTTTGGAGAGTTGCCAGGACAATATCTTCCAAACGCCATGCTGTAGCAGCAATTACTTGGCAAGAAGTCAGGAACAGATCTTCACCCTAATGAATCGAACTAATTGTCTCCTGCAAACTCCCCTCCCCTTTTGCTCCTCTTTATTCCCTATGGGAGGGGCCATTCACCGTCCAACTGTGCCATTGCTCCTTAGCTGTTCCCTTCTCCTGGCAGCTCTGCGCATGTGCACACTGGGAACAGGCTCCAGCTGTTCTTCTGCCCCACTGATTTCTGATTCCAAAGGCAGCTGAGAACTGCCAGACAGCCTTGGCCCCATTTCTGCCTCTGACACAGAGCCTTCATCAGAGCCTTCCCCAGACTCCAAGACTGGCCCATGTTCCTCCCCAACCTCCTCACTGTACGAATCTGCCGCCACTTCCTCTGGCTGCTGGCAGGCCACAACAGCTTTTTTTAAAACTATTTTGAATGTACTTTCTTCTTAATGATACAGGGATCTCTTTTTAGTAAAACTGAGTTCATGGTGGAATAATTCACCTTAGCCAGCCAGGAGGTGTAAAGGGGCTACTACCTCTACAAATAGTCTCTCCTCTCCTCCATTTGGGGCAAAAGCAAAGAAATCAGGACGTTGTCTATGAAATAAATAAATATGGCTATTGGTTTTGTACTGTGGGGAATACGCTAGGATAGGGGTGTCAAACTGGATTTCTTCGTGGGCCTGATCAGCATTGTAGTTCTCCTCCATGGGCTGGCCAGCTAGACAGGGGAGATGGGACAGACACCTCCTGCAGCACCTACTGGCCAAAGCAGGGCCTTTTTGGCTGCCAGAGGCACTGCGGGCTGGTCCTTTGCTATTTCCACGCTGGCCCCATGGGTGAAATTTAAACACCCCGGGGGGCTTGAGTTTGACACCCCTGAGCTAGGATATTGAACCCAGCTTAGAAGTTGATTTAAGGCATAGTCTTACTATGTTTGGCTTCCTTTTTTGGACAAAGGGGAAAACTTTGATTAATAGAAGGTAATTGTCTCTTTGAGGTCCTCCACGAGAAGGACACATGGCCCAAAGGACTCATTGTCTTTCTGGTTTAGTTACCTTCAGGTGTATCCTTGTCCAGACAATTTTATTTTTTCCTGTGAGTTCTCAGCTTTTGACTACCAATAAAAGAGAATATTTGTAGCTCAGGGTTGAAATGAGGGGGTCTTTCGTTGCTCTCTGAACTTGGTTGTTTTCTTGCAGATGTTTGATGAGCCAAACTAGCGTACCAAAGGGTTTGATGTCCATATGCAGTGACTAATAAAGGAGAACATTTGTAGCTCAGGGTTGAAAGCACTGAGGATGTTACCTAGTTTGGGTCACCAAATGTCTGCAAGAAAACAATCAAGCTCAGAGAGCACCAAGGACCCCAAAAACCTCTTGACTGCGTTCCTAGCGTCACTTTCGTTACCGCTCTTTGCAGCCACCGCTAAAGCCATGGTGGAAGAAAGCAGCAGGCTCGCAGACTGCATTGGGAAGACGAGAACCCTGCTGAGAAAAATCTTGTCAGAAGGAGTCGACCATTGCATGATCAAGTTGGACAATGACCCTCAAGGCTACCTCACTCAGCCCCTGAGCCTGCTGGAAGCTGCCCTCCAGGAATGCCACAATACCTTCACGGCCTGCTTTCACTCTTTCTACCCCACTCCGGCCTTGCAGTGGGCTTGCCTCTGTGATTTACTCAACTGCTTGGATCAGGTACTCAAAATCCCGTCCTTTGGCTTTTGAAGAGATGCTCTGGAAAGGTCGACCTGTTTTCCAAAACCACTGAATTGCTTATTCTTCCATCAGGTTGGCCCCAAATAGGCAGTCGATGCCTTCTCTTGCAGGGCAGGGCATTAATTGGAACAGAACACATTGCTGTTCTCAGTTGCCCATTGCTCCTCCATCCTTCAAAGGTCTTAAGTTTCCATTTTTACAAAGGTCAATAACTCTTAATGAGGAAGAAGGGGCAGAGAAAGAAGAGGAGTCTCCCACCTCCTTCTCTTCCAACTGTGCTTTCTTCTTACTGTTTCTTCTCCATTGCTCCTCCCAGCACCATTTGTGCTCCAATGCCACCTTTAGCTTGTTTCTGGTCCCTCTTATTCATCCCTTCTTCTTACCGCCCCTTCCTGGACAGAGTAACAAATTAACAGAGCTGGAAGGGACCTCAGAGGTCTCCTAGTCCAATGCCCTGCTCAAGCAGGGAACGCTGTACCATTTCAGACAAGTGGATGTCCAGTCTTTTCTTAAAACCCTCCAGTGTTGGAGCACCCACAACCTCTGGAGGAAAGCCATTCCGCTGATTAACTGTTCTCACTGTCAGAACATGTTGCTTTCTCCATTTTGCCACGAGCTGTGTTGACACAGCTGTGCGAGACACACCAGAGCAGAATTCCTCCTGTTTGCAGGCCAGAAGCCCTTCATTTTGTTCCAACTTGCTCTTTTTCCAGGACATCCAGGAAGCCAACTTCAAGACTTCAAGCAGCAGGCTGCTAGCAGCTGTAATGTCAGCCCTGTGCCACACCTCTGTGAAGCTCACCTCCATCTTCCCTATTGCTTACGATGGAGAAGCCTTGCTGTGTTCAGGAATAAAACAAGCCAGCACTGAGAATGACTCCGCGTTGGCCCATCGTTTCCCTCTTCTGGTGGCGCACATGGAAAAACTAAGCCAGGTATGTCTCTGCTACAGAAATACTTCAGCAGGGCCAACACAAGACACGGTAAATCCTCACAATTGTTGATAGCATTAGTGTATAGGAGATGAGGCTGAGCCTGAGGAAGGGGTCAAATGTGTCATCAGTCTGGAGTCCTTTCGTTGCCACAAGAGATCTCAGGCCAGCCTACCTTGAATTCCATTGACTTTTAACTACTGCCAATTTGTTTTTTGACTGGTAGCAATTCAGATTCTTGTTACTAGAACTAGCATGCAACAAACCAGAATTCATTTGAACTGGCTTGACTTCCTGATTTTCCTGTGCTTGACATTTAGCTTTTTTTTTTTCTGTAAGGGAGAAGAACTCTTTAACTGTAGTTAGTGTCTTCTCTCAATAAGTTGGGCCTTTGTTTTCATTGATTCAGAGCACAACTGCAGTGGGCAAGGACTGCTGTATGTACATTCATGCCTTATGTTTTGCACAAATGCTGCCTTAATAAAATTAATATTAGTTGATATTAATTAATATTAATTTTCATCTGGCGCTTGACAGATAATTTTCTGACCTGTTCATCATAGCAGTTAGGGTTCCTGTTGGACCCTACAGAAGCTCTGACCAAGCCAAGCAGGCGAAATCCAGAACAAATGTTCCAAAGACTTGAGTTAGCTTGAATGAGCTTTGATAGGTTTCTATCAGCTCCATCGCGGACACTTGGTTTAATTAGAGACCTGTCCTCCAATCAGGGCAATTTTTGCAATCTTGTTTCTGCCAATGACATTTTTGTGATTTTTGAATGTAGGGAAAGTTTCTTGATTTCACATATTATTCCACCTCATTGCTGCTCCTGCTTAGCTTCTTCAGGTTGTCACCCTGTTGTCTCAGGCAGTGCAAAAAAAAAAATATCTCTCTGATAAATACATATATTCTTGTGATTTTAATAACAGAATATTCAAGGATGACCTCAGAGAGATAGGTTTACAGAGAAGCAAGAAAAACATCAGTTACTGTTATATCTATATGTCAACTCCCGAATTTAAACCTATGTGGGCTCAATGTATACTATTCCCTCAAGAGTTGGTCATCCCTTCTTATTTAACAGTTGTAACCTGCCGTGACTATTGCCACTTTATTTTTTTTTGTGTATGAGCAGGACAGGAGGTGTCAAAAAAGGTGGTAGCCCTGACCATGCATTGTGTTACATTATGGATCATTTAATGTATCATTTAGTGTAACGGAGTGAGCTCCCGTTACTTGTCCCAGCTTCTGCCAACTTAGCAGTTTGAAAGCATGCAAAAATGCAAGTAGAAAAATAGGGACCACCTTCGGTGGGAAGGTAACAACGTTCCATGTGCTTTTGGCATTTGGTTATGCTAGCAACATGACCACAGAGACATCTTCAGACAGCTCTGGTTCTTCGGCTTTGAAACAGAGATGAGCTCCGCCCCCCCTAGAGTCTGGAACGAGTAGCACATATGTGCAAGGGGAACCTTAACCTTAACCTAAAACCTCACAGTTTAGAGTTTGACTTCTGAATTCAGTCTAGAATTGTGTCACGTTATGGATCATTTTATCAGAATAACAAAGAGTTGGAAGGGATTTTGGAGGTCTTCTAGTCCAACCCCCTGGGATAACGCAGGCTGATGCAGAAATTATGTCTTCAGCTATCTGTGGAAAGTTGTCTTCTTCTTTCCTTTTCCTCGACCAGCATTGTACCAACAAGGTCAAAAGAAAGAAGCTGCTTTTGCCGTTCTGCTGATTGAAATACATATTCTTCAGCAAGGATCTAATCGTAGCCTGGAGAGGTCTATACTTCCTCAGGTGTTTTATCAGGTTACAAGCCCATTTATCAGGTTACAAGTGTTTTATCAGGTTACAAGCCCAGCTTATAGGCCCATCACAACAGAGACCCACTGACCCCAGAAATAACAGCTTAAAATTCATTAACAGTACAACAGAGTCGGAAGGGACTTGGAGGTCTTCTAGTCCAACCCCCTGCTCAAGCAGGAACCCCTGTAGCATTTCAATCAAATGGTTGTCCAGTCTCTTCTTAAAAACCTCCAGTGTTGGAACACCCATATGATGTGGATGGAAGCCATTCCACTGATGGTGATCGTTTTAAAATGTCAGGAACTTTCCCCTTAGTTCTTGGTTGCTTTTCTCCTTGATTACTTTTTAAGTATGCATCTTTGGTTCTGCAGAGTGAAGAGAACATCTCTGGAATGACAAGTTTTCGCGAGGTCCTTGAGAAGATGTTGGTGATTGTAGTTTTACCTGTGAGAAATAGCCTGAGACGTGAAAATGAGCTGTTCTCCGCACATCTGGTTTCCAATACCTGTGGATTGCTTGCAAGTATTGTGAGCGAGCTCACAGCTTCTGCACTGGGATCTGAAGTAAGAAAGACTCACCAACTCTGACCTAACTTTTTGATCACTTTTATTGATTTATTTGTGAAATTTATTTGCCCCCTACCTCACTGTGGGGCTGGGCTGGTCTTAGGTGGCTTACAACAATAAAAACAGAGAAACGAAAAGAAGTACTGAGTTTTCCCAAAAATAAGACAGGGTCTTATTTTCTTTTGACCCCTGAAAATAAGCGCTTGGCCTTATTTTCGAGGAGGTTTTATTATTTTTGAGGTGCAGGAGGCCTTTTAACCTCCGCCCGCGGATCAGCTGATCCAGAGGGGGCCGGAAGTTCTGTCTCTGTGGCACACTCTTGCCAGCCCTTGTATTGCTGGGCCTGCTGGTCTTTTTGCGACCGCCACTAAGAGAAGGGGCACGGTAGCTAGGGTTTACGGTAGCGGCCTCTGTAAGGCCATTCCGCATGGTGCATGTGGGGCGCTTGGGGCATGTTCCCCCTCCCCCCCATGAAATGATGGGGACCGGCTGTGCATGCGTTTAAATATTTTAGGGGAGGGCTTATTTTCAGGGGAGGGTTTATTTTAGCGCATGCGTTCAAAAGCCCGATTGGGCTTATTATCCAGAGAGGTCTTATTTTCGGGGAAACGGGGTATAAACATGGGAATAGTGAAGTAATGGAACAATAGAATAAACAATGAATCATTTTCTTCTTCTTAACATTAAAAGGAAATACATTCCACAAACCGCTACTCTGCTCGTGAAATGTATTGAGATAATGGCTATAAAAGCGCCTGTAAGCCTAATTCCAGCATACTATTTTTCCTCATGGCCTGCTAAGAGGACTTCAGGGAAACCCTATATTCCCATATTCGATGCAGATATCCTTTTCCGATGATGCTTTTACTTTGATTTATTTTATTCCAGAAATAAAATGCTTCAGCTTTGGCTGCATTGTCCCAGGGCATTTTAAACAAAAGAGATTGTCAGTTTCTAGTGATATTTTTTCGCAGAGAAGATTAATCAGGCAGTTCACAAATCGTTCCCAGACTGCACAACTTCCTTCATTGTCATGTCAGAAGCCTAACCTTACCTCGAATCCTTTGCAGTCAAATCTCGTCTTAATTTTCACTTTCTTCTCTCCAGGCCGATGGACTCGGCTCCTTGCATTCTGTCAAGTCCAGCCCAAATCGATTCACAAAAACCAGCCAGGGCAGGAGCTGGAACACTGGAAATGGCTCCCCGGACGCCATCTGTTTCTCTGTGGACAAACCGGGAGTCATCGTGGTCGGGTTCTCAGTTTACGGAGGAGGAGGGATCCACGAATATGAACTTGAAGTCCTGGTGGACGATGTACGTATGAACTGCACAGAGAGAACCAATCCAGTCTATTTCTGTGAAAACCTCATTCAGTACCAGGTTGATGTTGCCTTTGCTCTTCAAACACATACACACAGTCATTCTTTCATTCTTTCTCTGGAATCACAATTTGTACATTTCCATGTATGAGGAGATGTGCACTCTGCACTTCCCAGTGTGCAGACGTATGCTAGCCTGCCATGTTTATACTTGGAAGTTATGGGGTACATTTGTTGAGGAACAAAACTAGACTTCATGAGTGTCTATGGAGATTCTCCATCATCCAGGTCACAGTTGTCCGGAAGGTGTTTTTTTCAAGAGCAACTGGTGTCAAGTTTCCAAATAGTATCCAAAATTAAATCGGAGTCCAAGGCAATGTATTGCTCAAAGTTCAAGATCTTGCCCCCACGCCCACAAGTCCATCTTCCCCTGCCATGCTGGCAGTTCCACCCATCCAGTTCCGGTCAGGTGCAGAGGCGCAAAGACAAAGGATGACCTTGGCTTTCTAGAAAGGATTTTGTTATGGCTACATGTCATCTAACTTCGTTCAATCCCCCATCCCATTTTCCCACAATAGAAAATGCATAGTAGAATAATAGAAAGTGTGGCAGGCCAAAGATCCAGAAGAAAAGATGGCTGCAGGCCTGACAACGGAACTTTCTGGTTTTACTTTGAAGACGTGTCGTGTCTCATCCAAGAAGCTTCTTCAGCTCTGACTGGATGGTGGGGAATGGAAGGATTTATACTCCTTGCAGACAGCGGGTCATTTGCATCCTTTTATTGTGTCGTTGAGGCCACTTGGAGGTTCATCTGTGTCCTCAGGATCACGTGAATGATGCAGATGGGTGTGGAGTCTCACCAACATCATCATCATTTGCAGATGGGTGTGGAGTCTCACCAACTCTCCAGTCTACAACACGGTCCTTTCAGCAGTTCCAAGAAGGTTCCACGCCCATTTGCACTATTGTGAGGGCACAGATGAACCTCCAAGTGGCCTCAACGACTCTCTAAAAAGAATGCAAATGACAAGCTGTTTGCAAGGCGTATAAATCCTTCCATTCCCCTCCATGCAGTCAGAGCTGAAGAAGTTTCTTGGATGAGAAGCGAAACGTCTTCAAATAAAAACCAGAAAGATCCGTTGCCTCTTGAAAAAAGCACCTTTGGGATATGATAAGTTTCAGTAGGATGAGAAGATTGAAAGCTCAGACCGTTTATAGAATTGGGGTGTGCTTTTCCTTCCCTCTAGTGGTCTTTGCTGGGAATCGGCCATCTTCCTTTCATATAAATAGGATAAATCTCTCTCATGCCTTTCTATGTGTACAAGTGTGTGTGGGAAGGGAAAGAAGAAATTGTCCATCCCTAGGAGCGTTTTAAGTACCTGCGTTGAATTTACTCTGGTGTGGATTTGTGTGGCATCCATAACACTTTAAGATAATTTTTTTTAGTTAGTTAGTTTAGTTTATTAAACTTGTATGCTGCCCTATTCCCGAGGGGACTCAGGTTTTTTTTTTAAAAAAAACACGCTTATAGGATAGAAGTTCTGACTTTTATACTGTTCATTTGTATTATTGTTGTTATTAACGCTATAGCTGCATTAAAATTTAAATTTTAAATTTAGAGTGATCATACAGGAGATTCAACTCATTCCCATAGATGGACATCTCTAGAATTAGTTAAAGGAACATATACCACAGACGATTCTCCGAGCGAGATGGCAGAAATTAAACTTGACAAAGTCGTTCCTCTGAAGGTAAGTGCAGCAATAGATTTCCCTGCAGAAAATCTAAATTCTCTTGAAGACCAACGCTTCTAACGACCTAGCAGGTTAATTATTTCTGGCTTTACTTTTGATCAGCCAAGGGAGCCGTAGGAAACTTCATTCCTTTAGGGCAGTACTGTTCTTTCTTTAAGTGGTTTAGTGTGCAGGACATGTGACTGGAAGCATAAGGAGGAAATGGATATAGTAGGCCAAAATTAATGCTCCATCTTTTGGTTTAGAGAATTATGCAAAATAGATGGGCTAAATGTCCTAGATATTTGTCTACCAAGTTTAAGCATTATATAGTTTCAGACAACTCTACCGAGCCTTCATGACCAAAAGTCCTCCCTATCCTTTTCTTTTTTCTTATTTTTTTCTTATTGTATATTTTATTGTATATTTTATTTTATTTATTATTATTTTATTATTGTATTTTATTATTGTATTTTATTATTGTATTTTATTATTGTATTTTATTATTGTATTTTATCTTATTATTTCTATAGCTGCCCATCTCAGCAAATGACTCTGGGCAGCTCACATATATTAAAATTTGAATTTTAAAAACAATAAAAACAAAACAGTAACAAAGCATTATAAGGGTAACAAAAAAAACCACATTAAAACCCGGGGTGGTGATGGTATTCACTTATCTTCTCTACTGGTTTGCAAATGTGAGCGTCCACATGCGCACATGCGCTCAGCCTTCCGTGTATGTGCTTTGCCTAATAAAAGCCAAATGGGATGCCATAGAGTGGGGGCAAATGGGCGGGGCCACCCGTGATTTTCGCTACCGGTTCGGGCGAACCTGTCCAAACCGACAGAATACCGGTTCTGATTAAAACGCCTAATTTGAACTACTTAACAGAAGCAAGATACCTGGCCTTTTAACAGTAAAGCTAGGATGCGAGGCCCTTGGTGTTATATAGCTCCCCAGGTTCAGGAGTGGGGGCAGGTTTTTAGAGCTTTATGGAAGGCTTACAGGGATCCGGCCCATTGTAATCTCCGAAAGGATGTTCCACAGTGCAGGGGCCACTGCAGAAAAAGTTCGCTATGTAACCATGTTACAATAGAATAGCAGAAAACAGATGTAATTCAAAGATTTGTATGTCTCATAATAAATGGATTAATAATGGTGTTTCAGCAAGAATAGTACTGTAAGACTGACATTTAAAATAGCCCCTTTTCATATTTTAATAATGTGAATGCTATCTTTAAAGCTCTGCTGTACTGAAATAAATGAAAAAAAAAAGTTTACTCTGGCTTTAATGTTTGCAGGAGAACATGAAGTACGCTGTCCGTCTGAGAAATTATGGAAGTCGCACAGCAAATGGAGACGGAGGGATGACCACTGTCCAGTGTCCGGACGGCGTGACGTTCACTTTTAGCACTTGCAGTTTGAGCAGCAACGGCACCAATCAGACCCGGGGCCAAATCCCACAGATCCTTTATTATAGGTATCCGTGACAAAGGAGTTTTATTAGGTGTTACCTTTAAACACAGCCAAGATGAATGTGTTTAAATGAACGTGGTGTTGTGTTAGTCATTTGTAGGAAAGTGTACTTTATTTACTTACTGCATTTTGAAGCCACCTGACTCCAAATAGACTATGGGTAACATTTAAAAGAATGTATAGTAATTTGCATCCGCATGAAGATTTGAAGCAAAAAAACATCTTGCAAAAAGGGAAATACATCAGCATGTTCTTTTGCACCGCCTGTGGTGGTGTTGTGGCCTAGAGGTAAAGATGCTTGCCTCCCATTCGAAAGGTTGAGAGTTCAATCCTAGGCAGCGGCAGATGTTTCTCTCTCTAGGCACAGAGAGATAATATCTGCTGTGAACTCCCCGTAGGCATCAGGAAGGGCATCCAGCCAGTAAATGCATTCATGGAAATGCATTCAGTTGCCCTGACTCCACCTTCTTCTTTTTTTGAGAATTTTTTAAATTTTTTTTAAATATACATATAATATAATCCAAAGCATACCTATACATCTTAACAAACATTTTTTGAGTATTCAATAGTATATCAAGGAGGAGAGCTGAAGACGAAATAGACTATAATATGGTGTATGGAAAGCAGAAGAGCAAATAAAAATTGAAGAGGCTTAATGGCCCCGCCTCCACCTTGAAGCAAGGGATTACATCGTCATTAAAAGAAAACAAAATATTTTGCGCTGCCTAAACCATGATCTGATGAGGGTTGTGTGCCCACACCTAGGTCTATTTCGGTACTAGTTTGCTCCTCTGACTGGCTTTTTTCCATTTTCCAGAAGCGAGTATGATGGAGATTTGCAATCGCAGCTCTTAAATAAGGCCAACGAAGAAGATAAGAATTGCACCCGAGCACTTTCTGTTGTGAGCGCAGTGGTCCGAGCAGCGAAAGATCTCCTGCACAGAGCTCTTGCTGTAGATGGTAAGAAGATGTTTTAAATTACCTTAAGAACCTCGGAATGAATTATTTCAGTCCCTTAATTTGCTCTCACCATCTAGGCAGCAAAAAAACAAAAAAGCAACCACAGCAGGAACCGTTTTCCTTGGCTTCCTTTATAGTAGGAGTGGATCAGAGGTTTTTGCTTGGATGTTCTCCATGTGGAGATTCACAGAATAATAATAGCAGCTTAGCTTTGTCATCGCCAATGGTCAGTTAATGATCTCTGAAATCGTTAGGGAAATAAGAGGCACAGAGTGTACACTTTGTCTGAAGGTGGAGAAAGGAGACGGATGGAAATAACCAGACTTGTAAATGTCTATGGAGGTTCTCAAGTCATCCAAGTTATGATTATCCCAAAGATGCTTTTTCAAAAGACAATTGGACTTCCTTTGTTTTCCTGGAAGACAATTCGCTTCTCATCCAAGGAGCTTCTTCTGATCAGGTCGATTCAGAATTGAAGTTCAGAACTGAAGAAGCTTCTTGAATGAGAAGCGAAATGTCTTCAGGGAAAAAGCAAGTCCAGTTGCCTTTTGAAAAAAAAAACAGACTGCAGCTCCTGCTTGGGTGAGGCATGATGGGCTCAGCGGGCAACTGCAGTGACAGAAGCTGGATAGTCTCTGTCGTAACGAAGCTCCAATAAAGGAGAACATTTGTAGCTCAGTTGAAATGAGGGGTCCTTGGTGCTCTCTGAGCTTGGTGGTTTCCTTGCAGATGTTTCATTACCCAAACTAGGTCACTCATTGGCTCTAGTGTATCATCAGTGCATCATCAGGGACAACGAAACATCTGCAAGAAAATAACCAAGCTCAGAGAGCATCAAGGATCCCTCATTATCGAAGGTGATGGTGAAGCTGAAGTGCCAGGTCTTAACTATTTCAAGGAGTCATGTGTTCTTTCATAAACAGTCTTCATGCTTGAACCACTTTTTTTTATTTGTAGCTGAGGACATCCCTGAGCTGCTGAGTTCGTCCAGCCTCTTTTCTATGCTCCTTCCTCTGATGATAGCCCACATAGAACCCGTCGCAGCAGCTATTCCCAAGGTACGTTCGAACAATTTGTAGACGTAGGCATTTTACTGACCTCGGAAGGATGGAAGGCTGAATCAACCTTAAGCCCCATCAGGATCGAACTCCAGGCTGTGAGCAGAGTTTGCCTGTAACCCTGCACTTTAACCATTGTACCACCAGGGGTCCAGCTACTTACAGTTCCTATTTGATAATCCTAAGCGACTCCCAACAAGACCAATGAAAGAAACCTATCCTCGGTCCAAAGGAGCATCCCTATTTCTTGCCATGGTGCTATAACTTTAGTCAGCTCACATGCCTCAATTCTCAAGGAGTGGGATAGAAGAAAGATGGGTAGAGGGGGCAGGAGAGAGGATGGGAGGGAGGGTGAGAAGGAAGGGAGGGAGTGGATCGGGAGAGGGGAGTGGTAGAGGGGGAGGGGAAGTAGGGTAGAGGGGGATGATGGAGGGAAGATAGTAAGTTGGAAGGGGGTAGAAAGAGATGTACGGAGAGTGGAAGATGTATATTGGGTTTCTATTTTTTGGGCTATTGTTGACAAGAGGAATTGCTGCGATTATTGTTTAATGTTGTATGGCTCTGGCTATGCACAGTATATATGTGAGTGGATGAAAATGAAAAAATGGAAAATAAAAACCTTTTGAAATGGAAAAAAAAATAGAAAAGTATAAAAAAATTCTCAAGGG